CTGGAGGAGTTATATATTGATCGCCCACACATACAAATAGATACACAAGGTTTTTTTGTAATCTTAGAATTATAAGCTAGCTATTGTTACTTGACTTGCTTTTCTTTTTACTTATCCATTTATCTGCTAGATGTTACTCAGGTGCGTCATGTAGCTTACTAGACGTGCGCTTGCTGGGAAGGGGGGTGGGCCTGTTTTACGTTTTGACCACACTGTCCTGCAAAGGTGTACTGCGTTCTATTTTGACCACTGGGTGGGAGAGGGCCCATTTTGCCAATAATCCTATTAATACTAGCTATTAACAGTCCTTCACATTTTCATCAGTGCAGTTAAAAAAAATTTTTTTAAATTCCTGTTCCTAGTCACTCATTATAAATTCTGCCGTTCAATCCTTCAGCTCTTTAAAAATGTTCAGACTCTTTCTTTTAGGACCAAGATGAAAATATAAACTTTCTATTTAAATGGGTCTCTGAGATACTTTTGGAACCTTGGATACTAATGTAACAATAGTTATCTAGAACTTTATTATTCACAAATTATCTTCTCATGCCTTCACTTTTTTTGACTTTTTCTTGTGGGGAAAAATTTTAAAACATACAAAACTAGAGTAGTATAACGAACCCCTACACATCCATCACCCAGCTTCAGTATTGCCTTCACGTTTGAGCAGCTCACCGGCTGAACTAGGAGGAAGATGTGTCGTTACTTCCATGTCCCAGTTAAAGGTCACGTACCCGGGAGTGGCAGGGCCAACGCTGGCCGAGGCTCCTGGCTTCAGATTTCCCCCATTTCCATTATGTTTGTTGCCACTGTGATATCTTCTGTGATTTGCAGGGTTAAAGTCGCCAGCTTTTCTTTACGATTATTATTATTTTATAAATGTACCGTGCCATTCTGAGAAGCGGGAGAGCAGCAGCTTTCTAAACACAGTCTGTCGGGTTTTCGTTTTAGAAGAGACGGTCCAGCAGGCAGGTGAAGAGAAAGCGGTACACCGAGGACTTGGAGTTCAAGATCTCCGACGAGGAGGCCGATGACGCAGACGCTGCTGGGAGAGACTCGCCCTCCACAACCTCGCAGTCGGAGCCGCAGGTGAGTGGCCTGTGCAGTTCTCGTGTGCATTTCAAAAGATGGGCTGGAGGGCTTCCCTGGTGGCGCAGTGGTCGAGAGTCCGCCTGCCGATACGGGGGGACGCGGGTTTGTGCCCCGGTCCGGGAAGATCCCACATGCTGCGGAGTGGCTGGGCCCGTGAGCCGTGGCCGCTGAGCCTGCGCGTCCGGAGCCTGTGCTCCGCAACGGGAGAGGCCACCACAGTGAGAGGCCCGCGTACCGCAAGAAAAAAAAAAAAATCAAAAGACGGGCTGGAAATTTTATAGCTGGAATCTGAGAAGTTCAGTAGAAGCGTCGGACTTTGAGCTGGGAACATTCATCTCGTGTTGGTGAACACGCCATGGGAAATTAGTCCTTTAGGAGTGTCTTTTAAAAAGCCCCGTTCCCTGGGATTTATTTTTGTACAAGCCTGTGATATGTAATTTGACACAATTTTGGAGAATTAATGGTCTTTGTTGAGGATGAGGCAGACCTAGGATGCAAGGAGGCTGAATTTACCTCCGAGAGTTCAGTGCTGTAGCTTCTGGGACTTTAATAAACCACTCAAGCTTGTCTCCTGCTGCTTGGCACTGTAAGAGCCCCTTTATGAAATTATTGCCTTGTAGTACCCAGCAGGGCCTACTTTATTCTCTGTGCCATGTAAGTGATGGATAAAAGAGTTGTATAAAATATGGGTGGTAATGGAGGATTGATTATTGTGAAGATCTTCCCCCCCACCTCAAAAAAAAAGCCCTCTTCTTACTGTTACTGTGCTTTAGTTAACAAACTGGTAACCCATTGAAAAATATATTAAATACAGTTTTGTAGTTTGTTTGGTAATTTGCGCTCTGTTGTTATATAGCGTTTTATGTGACCTCCATAGATAAAAAGCTGCCTACAATAATAGAATGATGAGTATATTAACCCCATGGGTCCAGACAAGGAAAAGTTATGTTTTTGCTGTCACGCAGAGATCATTTTCTCTTGGCAGCTGGAATTTCTGAACGCTCCTTGGCTTTAGGGACCCTTGCTAGTCCACGCAATTAAACCACATAATCGTGAAATAATAAACACAGCTCTTCCTTTTGCCTTTCTGCAAGGGAGATTTTTGTTCTTTTCAGTCATACTTCCCACTGGTGTTCGTACCCAGTGATTTAAAGGGTCTGAATTTAAAGGGTATGGAAGGAGGTGCAAAAGGGAATGGTTTCTTGCTTTTTACAGCTTAGAATGAAATACTTTCTGTTTGGATTCATTCATTCCACTTTATGTTTTAGGAATCTGTTGACGCAGACGGTCCAGTGGTAGAAAAAATTATGAGTAGTCGTTCAGTAAAAAAACAGGTAAGCACCGTGTGGAGCTATCAAAACCTGTGGTGTGTGTGTGTGACTCTTAAATTATTTTTTGCTTTATCATTTCCTTTAAAAATTTCACTGTTGAAAATGAAACTTCTGGTGATGTTTCTAATCCTGTCCGATTTATTAGTCCAATATCCATCTTTGGGATGTTCAGCCCAAAATGAAATTAAAATGTAGCAAACAATCAGTGCTTTATTACCCCATTTAGAGTAGGCAAGAACTCAGACGACTCAAAAGAAATATATTAGGACTCCTAGAGTTGTAGGCTGCCTTTTTCATAAATATTCTTTCCGAAAAATCATAACCGTGAATCTGTCTCTCATCTCTCTTAGGGAGGTCCCTACCCCAGACCC